GTAAGACAATCGAAAATTGTGGGCGTGTCGAATGGCACACGATGCCGAAGGCAGCTGCCTGCCCAAAATATCGGCACCATCCTCGAGTTGGCTCCTGATATGCTCGGGTATTTTTATCGGCCGTGCCCCGCGCTTGCGATTCCGTGCATAATAGTGTAAAACTAGACATATATCTCCCGACCGGCTATATATTTCCCTGTGGCGAGCTGCTATTTGCAGCGAAACTCACGAATTCGTAATAAAAATGTTTCGCGCGGCCGAACGTGTGGCCAGAAGTGAGGATTTCGGGGAGCGAAATTGAAAACGGAATGGTTCCGAGCGGAAGACGCAAAAAAGAATGAGAGACAGGCATTAATTTTTGAAAATATTATTTACCTCCCGCAGGGGAGCGAAATGCGCGGGGAAGGAAGTGCCGACGGTTTGGGGGAAACAAGTTGAACTCATTTCACAAGTGTTTACAAACAGAAAAGAAGCAATTCGATTCGGATGAGTAATGCAAGTCTTTTTCACCAGCAAGGAGGTGTTATTGCTAAAATGTGAATTTAAATCGAGGTACCCGTTAATATAATAAGTTGCAGACTTGCTTTTCAAGACGAGTTACCATGTGAGTCAATCGTCGCCATCCCCTTCCACTTTTAACCCATTTCCACTCTTCCCAAAAAAGCTCGGTTTAGGGGGAAAATTATGGAACCTCTTGCGGAGCACATTTAAACGATTTCACATTTCTTAATGATTCTGACAGCTCAATGATCTTTCATTCGGGGTGCCCAAATGTGTTTCTCGTATTCTCCGTTCGCGCTTGTCAGCCCCAATTTGAAATTCGGCCGAATTCGAGCCTCAAGTGGCGGCGGTCTTTAGTTAATGTCAGTCACATCGCCCAGATGTTGCCCAAGTTCTCAATGCTTCTGTGGGATTAATTAGGCACGGACTCGGAGCCACTGCACTCGCAACAAAGACTTCATTAAGGGGCAACCTGATCGGGCTTTTCAATTTCCCTGCGCAGTCGTCCCTTTAATTTTAATTTCACTACTAATACATCATCGTAAGTCATCCCAAAAAGCCCGCGGAGGTGGTGCAAGTTGCGTATTGGTACAGTGGTTCAGTGGCACAGTGGTGCGGTCGTGCGTGTGTGTGATAAGTCCTGAAAAGCGCCGAACTACACGTTCTAATTTTCACAACAGTTGGTAATGCACACAACCCTCAGGTCACCCCCTTGATTTTTTCACATGTCAGTGTAGCAATTACACTCGGAGAATTATTTTGAATTTTTCGCAAAGTATTTTAAAGTTAATTTTTTCCTGTTAAATGATAAAAGAACTCAAAAATATCTTATTTAATATTTGCTCCCCACAAAATATTTTACATTTTCCTGTCAGATTTAAGATTTAAATAGTTTTTAGTGTAGGCTAGTGCGAAAATCAAGCCGAGGGCAAAAGTGGCTCGACTCCAAGCCTGCGCTTGTTTTCGGTGGTGTTGTTCAGTGTTTTTCCTGTTGGTGGTGGCAACGTCAAGGTGAAAGCCGCTTAAGGTGGCGGTGGGTGGGGTGAAGGACGTGGCCAGGGGGCGGAGAGGCAGGAGTCCATTGTTAGGACTCAACATGTGCGCTATTGGATTAAGTGGCGAGCGACGGCGATTCAAGGACAATCAGAGGAACAGCACGAGCCCGGGAGTCCCGTGCCTCGTCACCTTCTGTCCAAATCGAAGCTAGACCGCGTAACAGGAATCCATTAAGGTGACCGTTTTATTTGCTACATTAGCGGAGGCTGGGTGGTGGCTTAAATGCATGCATTTAGCCATCTGTCTGCATTTCGGCAATACAAAAGTGTTAATTGATACTTCTTTTTTATTGGTTTCGCAGGGAGCAGTCGAGCGGAATGGTCAGGACGGCTGGAAGGTCCCTTCACCGGGCTCAAAATCGGTCCCCGCATGCAAATGCCGAGCGAAAGGACACGGGATCCGAACACAGGCAGCTGCTGCTCGAAATGGAAGAACGCCCACGTGCCGAAGGAATGCCAGGAATGCCAGCTCGGAATTTCCAATCAATTTTAATTGGCGCCCCATCGATGGATGACAGCGAAAAGAAATCCAAAATATTTGTGCATAATTTTAATTAGAACATTCTACGTTTCTACTTGCGCAATTCATCTTGTGTGTGTCGTATCGTAGGAGTACTTAGAAACCCGGGCCAGACGTCCAATGGGTGTCAAACCCGGCGCAATAAATTATTTTAAACGAGCAAATCGAAGATGTGTCGCCTTCCGAGTTTCCGCTACAGCACATGTGCCGGGTATTCGAAATATTTTTATGGCCTGCTCCCTGGAAGGCCGGGTGTAGGTATTCGTCGTAGGGATCTATGTGCAATCAGGGGGCTCGGAGATAAATCTCCTGCCCACTGGAGCGGCCAGCCAATCAAAGTTGCAGTCATTTAAATGCTCGCAGCGGGACCCTCTCCGCCCGGAAAACTCATTTAAGTTTTCCTCGGCCAGAGAGATAGGTGAAAAGGATAAGGTCGTCGAGTCTGGGGATTGGCCAACTTGGTCCGGCTTAATTGCCCAGTGTCCTTGCAAACGAAAGGGAGGCTTAATTGCCTCAGCCTCTGCCCTTTGACTCCAATGCTTAATTGCCAGTTAGTCCTTTTTAATGGACTCCACTGCACGGGGACACTGGTCCTTGGTCATTAATGGCCACGTCTAGATTTCCGCTCACCTCCTTTCGCAACTTTCGTAACTTTCGGGACCCTGTCGATACCACTCGCCTCCCCCTCCCAGAAGGACTTGCAAATGCTAGCATTTTAATAGCAGCGTTTTTGACTTAATATGTCCCGGCTTATCTGTGTATCTGTGTTTCTGGGCATCCTGCATGTCCTGTGTGTCCCTGCGCCCTTGGGGCTCTCTCAGCTCGTTTGTGTTGCATAAATTTGGCCAAATTGTTTTGCTGCCGTCCGATAAGACGCCGTCGATGGCATGACAATTAGCCCGAAACTACATTTAAAATATTACTTGTGGTTCTCCGTTTCGGTAGCTCTGCCGTCCACTCGTCCCTTTAATTGTTTCTTGGGTCGTTTGTTAAAAGTGCAAACACTATCTGATTGCTGATATCCCAATTTTGACTATTGGCTCTGAATACAAAAGAGGGCAGGTTGGCACACTCTAATTCAAAATTATGTATATTTTTCTCCCGAAAGAGTCTTCTTAAGAGTTCAGTTTTCCATTCTTACTATACTATACATTTAGTTCATTTCGACCTGCCACTTGACGCAGATTCTGGTGCACTCAAATTTAATGAAAAAAAGGGAGAATTATTATTAAATTATAGCTTGAGAAGAGTCCCCTTCGACCTCATTTAAGCGCATGACATAAACATAAACTTTGCGCCTTTTGTGTGAGCGAGTCCTGCGGGCGTTCCCAGTGTATATGTCTGCGTGTCCTTATCCTGGCCGCCGTTTAATAACAACAACGAAAACGGCAACAAACACCTTTAATATTTTCATTATGAAGTCATTCAGCGCGATTATTAACGCGTGACCCCCAAGGCGATGCACAGCTTCCAACGCGGACAAAGGTTCAGGTCCACCCTAATGAACAACAAGAGCAAACTTTTTCCCAAAGTGTTTATTACACGGAGAGAATAAGTTAGTTTCGTTTAAGGTGAATGCAAGAATGTTTATAAGAAAGTCAAGGAAGTCTGGAAAACCAGAGAAATCGAGATATACTTTCCTCATCGAACTTTCCCAATTTCTTATTATTTTTTAAGCTGTTAAATATATCATTTTCTTGCAGTGTGCCCTAACTCTAAGGTAAATTACAATTTTTTGCTTATAAGTGGCAGCCGCTGGGCAAGTGCAGCTGTACCTAATAATCATAATAATTGCGCCATGGGCGTCGACAGCGTCGTCAACTTTTCCAGACGCCCCCATTTCAGCCCCGCAGCTCCGGCAACAACAATTGCTTATAAAGTGCGTGTGACACATTAACGGGAAAAGTCCGGCGCGAAAAGCGGGAAAGCCTTGGCAGCCAGGAAAAAAAGGCAAATAAAACCGGCGGCCAGTGGGCGAACTTCAAAAGAAATAAAGAAAAGCCCGAAAGAAAAAAATGGTATGCAGAGAAAGGAAAAGTCCTTTAATGCGGTGAATTTTCCGCGGGATTTCTATGAAGTGCAGCGGGGTGGGAGGAGGGTGGTGGGTGAAATTAGACGGGGGGTCACTGCGGTTTCTGCCGCGCAAATTGAAAAAAATGTTCGTGCGTAAATTGGCTTTTGGGGACGGGCGATGTTCTCCGTATCGGCCAGAAATGGAAAGTGGCGTGGCCAGGTCACCTCACATCCGTATTCTTTCCACTTTTTCAAATTGAATTTCGCTTCGAGTGCTCCTGAGAAGGAGAAAAGGAAAGGAAAGGAAGCGTGGACGGCGAGGAAACCCGGCAGCAAATTAAAAAGAAATTAAGCCAATTTGCCTTTACAAGCCAGGATGTGCGGCTCAATTTCGGGATCCGTAGCTAAAAGTGGCCGCGACTTGTTGTGGCTCGTAAATCTTGGCCCATAAATACCAGGACCTTCTGCTCTGCTCCTGCTCGTTCCCTTTGACCCACTGGCAACGTCTTCATCTCGGCGTAAAATTCTTTAATCTCGTTCAATTCAATTAGTTCGAGTTGACTAGCTAATGCCGCTCCAAGTGTCCACGAATGTCCTCTTCGCCCATCTTAGGTGAGTTATCTTCCTGCCCCGACTTTGTCAACCAGCATTAACTTTTGCAATTTATGGGTACTCTAAGCGGAGTGGTTTGGCCTCCGAGGTTTATGGTTATCGTAGGCTGATTACAGTTCAATTAGGTAAATAACCTTTCCTGGCTTTTTAATCGTAAATATTAAAATGTGCTACTCGGCGTTTAAAAATGTAATTTAAATAGTTCTATCGCTGCTATAATTGATGGGCTGACAATAATAGTCCTAATTAAGACTTCAAACTGTTTGAACTAACATCACTGGATATAAACCTAATGAAAATATAATCTGCCCGTGCGAAGTTTATTGGAAACACTACTTTCTGGGCGAATCCCGCCTAGTCCGTCATCAAAATGGTAAAGTTTTGTATACACGACGTGTCAAGAGTGCACTACGCAATTTAGTCGTTGCTTGCACCCGGATCTGGATCGTCTAGTCCTCCATACGGACAAGAGACCCTCAAGGACTCGGCTAAGGCGTCCACACTTCCATCAGAATCCTGTCGCGGCGAGGAGACCGGCGTGGAATTGTCCTCCCGGGGCTTTGCCTTTCCGAATATCAGAGCAGCCTGCTTGGTTTCCGCAAGGGAGTTTATGGGTGCAGTCACTGTCCGTGGCTTCAGCACCAGTTTCGGCCGATCATCGTCGTCCAGGGCCCCGAACGGGTTGCTCGAGCCAGGACCCGTTCCCGATGGTCCTGATTCAGGCTCGGGACCAGGACTTTTGTTATTCCGACCAAAGTAAGCGTTTCCGTTTCCCGAGTTGCCCGCATTGTTCGGATTGTAGTGACCTCGGCGATCGCGGTTGCGGTTCTGCACAAAGTTGTTGTAGTTTCCGCTGCCATTCGGGTTTCCACTCCCGAAGCCACCGCCTCCACCGTTTCCGTTGAAGCTCCTCTGCGGGACTCCGCCCCTTCCGGCTCCTCCTTCGTTGCTGAAGGTTCTGTAAGTTCAAGGTGATTAAACTTCTTTTAGTCATAAAATCATAGGGATTGCTTACCGATTAAAATTGAAGTTCCGGTTCCGCTGGAATCCCCCGTTGCCGGAAGGCTGCTGACCCTCGCGGTCATCGAAGTTCGATCGCGGAGCTCCTCCCTGGTAGCGATTCCCATTTCCGTTTCCGTTGCCTCCGCCACCAGGAGCACCTCCCCGGTCACCTGCACCACCTCGACTGTTGAAGCCCCCGCGAGTGGAGCGGCTGTAGTTTATGGACATGGTGCTCTGGGTGGGGCTGCTGTTAGACATCTGGTGGTTGCTGCTGCTGCGAGTCTCCCTCCGGCGGTACTGATGGGAGCCCACGCTGTCATCTCTGCGGTAGTTGCGCCTCTGGTAGTAGGGATGCCCACCTCCACCTCCACCGCCTCGCCCGCCGCCCCTTTCGTTGCCGCCCACACTTTGGGAGCCGCCCGGACCGCCGCTTCCTCCGATGCTGGAGCTGGGCGCCTGTCGCCGATGGTCCGCTATGTCGATGCGCAGGGGGGCCGAGAAGTTGTCCAGCTTGATGCGTCCGTTGCAGGAGAGGGCCCTCTTGAGCTGCGCCAGCGTTTCGAACTCCACGTAGCCATAGCCCTTGAACTCGTCCGTCTCGCGGTCCTTGATCAGCCGCACGTTCTTCACCTCGAAGTCCGAGAAGATCTTCATCACGTCGCCCTGGACGAGGCCCTTGGGCAGGTTGCCCACGTAGGCGATGAAGGGCGGGTCCGTGGGCACTTGGCGCTGGCGATCACGATCCCTGTCACGATTGCGAAAGTCGCGAAAGTTGCCGCGACTGTCCCGGTCGCGGTTGTCCCAACTATCGCGGTTGTCCCGGTTATCGCGATTGTCCCGATTAGTGTCGCGATTGTCCCGATTAATGTCCCGATTGTCCCGATCTCGATTAAAGTCCCGATTGTCGCGATTGTTTTGGTTTACATTGCTGTTGTCACGGTGGAACTCGCGATCCCGCTGGCTGGAGCGGTTGGCCATGGTCCTCGAGCCCCGATCGCGAACCTACAAAAATATATGAACCTACTCGTTGCCACTCGAACCACGGACACACGGAACACCGAACGCTGTAGGAAAAGTCTGGAGTTCGGTTTCCCAGACGCTGTTGATAAGTCTACGCGAGACGAGGGACTGGGACTTCTCGGGGCTTCGGAGCTCCTAGCCGTTTTCTGACAGCCCAGTGACACTAGTTTCCATGCCACTGCACCGAGATTAAATTAAATACCTTACGTCTCCTTGGTATTTAATCGAACAAAATTTCTATCTATACTAAAAAATATAGAAATTGCATGCGTCTGCCTTTAAAACTGAACCGATTTTAATGTGCAAAATGAAGGAGGTATGTTTACAACCAAGCCTGAATGGAATATTCTGCACGCTAATAACCGAGCTCCGGGCTAAGGTAAACCATAAATGATTAATTACGGCGCCAGGCTCCAGACTTGCTCCCCTTTCGCAAAACATGTGTGAGCAGCAGCTCCATCTTCTCCGCCGGCTTGTGTTTGTTTTGTGGATAAATGCAGCAAAAGCATCGCTGCCAGTACATGAAAAAGTCAACAGTAAATAGTGCAGCAGGAGCAGCATGAGGCAGTAGTAACGCCAACGAACGCTCTCTGTTGCCCCGCGAACTCATGACTCATTTTTGTACATTTGTCAAAATTTGTGCCATACATCATTTTAAACAGTGCAGCTCGTGGGAGGGAGCAGAGGTTGCCAAGAGTGGGGGATCGCTGTAGTTTAGCCGCAGCCCGGCTTTCATTCAAACCCTGGCTCTTTCTGCTTTATCGTGCTCCCCTTCTCCATTCGGAAAAACCTTGCCCGAGGGGTTCAAGCGACTCAACGCATGGAGCCCAAGATAAATCGCCGGCAACACGGAATTAAAAACTGATGTAGCGATTAATTTATCACTTGCAGGCAGTGCACTTGAAAAATCTAAACCATTTGACTGCATACTTCCCTTAAGATTTTCTTTTTTGCAAGGTGAAAATTATACAATGCTACATCAATATTTAATTGTGGCTTAACGGATATTTTCCTCAGTAGCAATATAATTTGATAAGCTTATTTTTCTTAGTGCACTGGCAAGAAGAGTTGCAGCTTCTGGCAGTATTTAACTAACAAGTTGCAGTGAGCGAGTGGACACACAGAGGAGACGTTTCAATGGTTCTATCCGAATGGAATCGAAGTGCTCGGAGTTGGGCAGTAAATAAATTACGAGCGGCAAATAAACGCGCTTCATTGCTCCATCGATGGACAGTAGCTGTGCTGCAGAGGTGGAACACCAGGAGGTGGGGCCAGGGGGCCAAGGACAAAACAAAGGAGCGAGTGGGCGAGGGGGATGTGTGTGCAAACAGAGACAAGCAAACGGAAACGGAAACGCTTTCAGCTGTCGAATTTGTATGAGCTGAAAGTGCCCGTTCTCCATTCTCCATTCTGCAGAGCGCAGAGCTTTTGTTGTAAGCGCTCAATCATTTGATTGTTGCAACTGCAGAAGGACTCGAGCGAAGCTCATCGATCAGAATTAATAAAGATTTGGTCCTCGGTGATTGACTGACTGACCCACCTCGACCAGCTGGGGTTTTTTTTCGGGTGGGGAGGTTTCCACCCCCTCGAAGGAGATTTCGGAACGGAGCATTTGTTTCTAATCGCAGAATCCCACTTGAACGGCACAGAAGCGTAAACGATTTTAGTATTACACAACATTAGCGAAATTAAATTGATTCGAGGCTGTTTAGGTTAGGAACCACCCACCCCCACCTTGTGTATTGGAAGCTCATCATAACGATGTCCTCGGATGACTTACGCCACAGCTCCCGCAAGAATGCAGCGCAAGTATCTTTATGGAGCGTTCTGCCTTCCCCGGTTCACTCCATTAGTGCACTTGTAGTACCTCACACACTGCGGATGAACTGGGGGTGTGGCGAGGACCGCTCACTAATCATATTAAGCGAAATTCATACGTCGCCGCATTTATGCCATTCGCCAGGACCTCGAAAGCATCCGAGAACCCGAGAGGACGGAGGGTAGCTATTGTTATGACTCGGTCTGGCAACATTTTTCGCTGTCGTTTAAACTAATTGAGTGTTACAAATTTTATGTGCAAAATCTTTAAGCTAAATTGAAATTTGTTTTCTTTTCGCCCCGCTGTCGTACGCTTTCCACATGTGCGGTTCACTATCCCCGTAAACCCGTATTCTAAGTGAACCCATTTAATGTTATGTGCACATTTTTGTTGCTCATACCCGTAAGTGCGTCGAACCATTTTAAAGTGCCCGAGTTGAGGTATGTTCGACTGGTTTTTGTCCACGGAAAATTGCCTATGGGGTGAAGTTTTTTTGGTTTTTGGGGTGGGCAAGGAAAGAGATCCGAACTCAGTAGCGCTTCCCTTCAGTTTCATAATTGAGGTTGAAGTTCGCGATGAAATACTGAGTGTAGGATAAGCAAACACATTTTTTGCCTTTGAGGTTTTATGTGTTTGTTAAAAAGTACAATTTATTTGTTTATCCAGATTTCAATTTACATTTTTAAATGTTTTAAAAGAAACAAGGGCTAAAATGGATGCTTTAAAAACTTCCCCTTACAAAAAGTTTTATAGGGAAAGGTAATACAAATTATCTTTTACAACGAAAGATCTTAAGCTATCAAATTTCACAAATTCGTTGCGAATTATTTCAAACAATGGTTTCTGAAATGACAAATACTTCCCACTCTATTATAACGATTGCCCAAGAATCATGTCGGCTAATTAAACTGCCAACAGAGTGTATTTTCGAAACAATTTACATAATTTACGATGCAAGACAACTGCCAAGGAAACTGAGAGCGCCAAGGCAAAGGCTTGCAGGCCAATAAACAGAATTGCATATGAAATGCCTTGGATATTTATATGAATTGTTCGGGCCAAGATAAGACCAAAATGAATACTCGCGGGCACTCGAAGCTGGCTACTCGATGGCCAAGAGCAGAAGCCCACACAAAGTGCGGATCTAGAATAAAGAAGGAATAGTCTGAGATTTATCATTGGCCAGGCCATATATCAAGTGTTTTGGCCAAATAATATAATATATGGCACTTGCCAAGTTTGCAATTACCAGCAAAAACTGTCACGGCATTTTGAAAAATTAACATGCACGCCATTTATAGTTCTTTGTATCGGCCAGTGCTATAGATTTATGCCAATTTGATACTGCTGGTGATGCTGATTTATGTGAGTTCGGATTCCACGCTCCGAAGAACTTTCGGCGGAACCATAAATAACGCCGGCGATCAAATTGCTACCTTCATGTGTCGATGGTGCGGAAAGTACGAGGGGGCGGGAGCCAAACAGAGTTCCTTGGCTTTGTTGTACTTTCAATTAAGGCAATTGATTTTAATTAGACCACGGCTTACCATAAACATATTCCAAAGAAATTATTATTAAGCACGCGACCCTCGGAGCTGCTGGTTTCGGGGAAGGGGTGCTCGTAAAGTTCCTCCCTCACCTCGCCGCCCTCGGGTGTAACTTAATATCTGCTCTAGTCGTTCGGTTCAATTAGCAGGAATTACGAGTATATGGCCAGGCCAAGTTGGACTGCAGTGCACCCTGCACAGGAATGTGCCCACATCTCGGGCCAACTGCTGCCGAAGTCGGAGGAGGTAGAGCGGCCATATTCCTTAATTGGCCGATACAAAGGGGGGCAATCAGACACTGGGAAAAACCTCTCTGCTGCACATGGAAACTTGCACGAATCAGCACTGAAATGCTATCAAGAAGTAGTCAAAATTCATTTCTCCAAAATATTTCGATGACTGCTTTCTGTGAGTTAAAGTGCTGTTGTCAAGAGTTCCTCTACTCGGGAGGGTTTTTCCCAGTGCCTTCGACGCACAGTGGTCGGTCCCATAGGCCAAAAATCAAAAAATCAATTTTGGAATTTTGATTTCAAGTTTGGCGCATCTGTTTATCAATAGAACAAGGCTTTAAAAGCAAGTATTAGTTTTGTCTTGCTCCACATATTTGCGGAGAAATTGGGGTGCAAAGTGAGCGCACAAACCCAGCGATCAACTGAAAGCGTGCGCATGTCTTTTGAAAGCGTTAAGTTAATAATTAAAAAAAAATATAAAACAATCGTTTAATATCCGAAAGTGAAATGAATATTAAAGTTGAAGGTTTGCAGATTGTGTTTTTCTAATTTTTATTAATTTTGCATGCTATATGTGACTGTGACAATAATTGTTTATCCACCTAAATTTTACAAGTTCTGCAGAACTAAACATCAATATTCTGCAAAGGTAAAAGTTGTGTTCCCAAAACTTCTCAATAATGAAATTTTTTTTTAAATGTTAATCAATATTTAATTAGTATTATCTGTGAAAATCATCTGCGAATAGCTGCGAATTCGTTCAGAATCTGTAAAAGAAGACGAGTACCTCGTTCCTTTTTCATCAGTTTTTGATTTTCTAGAGTAACCATTTCTAATATATATTGAAAAATTTATTTTTTATTACTTTTATTTTACTATAAATTTATGTTAATCATCGTTTTTTGTTATCTTTTGTTAATTTTTTAACCAAAATTAAGTGTTTAATAAATATAATTTTTGTCAGTTACGCTTAAAAAAAGTGTAGTATGCATTTGGGAGTCAAATTTTAAACATTTTATGGTAAACACGATGGTAGCGGATATATTTGGCTTTAATGGTGCTGATACTTAAAATATAACATTCATACGCTATTATATACCTACAAAAAAAATTTCAACTCGATATTCCTACTGGAAGTATTTTTGGCCGCCTTCTTCATACAAGACCGACCACTGTGCGACGGCGACGTGCCTCAATTGAGGTGATCAACGTTAATTGAAAGCCAGCGCGGATGACTCAGCCGGCGGCTCATTAAGTGGCTGGGAATCGGGAACGGAGGCTGACGGAACTCGGAGCGATCGAGATGAAAAATTAACATTTCGCGCATCATTAAAATTCCGATAGAGAGATGGGCTGCGATGGATCGTCGGACGGTGGACTTTGCCATATGGAAATCGTTGACAAATGTAGCAACGTGCTCAATGTCTCCATTTCCATTCCCATTCCCATTTCCATTTCCACATCGCTGTGGTGTACTTGTTGTCCCTGTTTTTCTTGTCAGCTGCCGGCCGCCTGGCTCATTTGTCGCCTTT